AGAGTTTGTTGACGGTAGTTATCATTCATTATAAACTTCAATATAACTTGAAATAATGCATGAAAATGATCACCAATATAGACTTAAGGTTTTAAAATAACAATTTCTATGAGCTTTGATGAATCTGTATTTTCAGTAGGGTTATTTTCAAAAACCGTCAAGGGGGATCAAAACGTTAAATTAAATCATGCCTATCCACAGCGAAAATTACTCTAGAAGGTTCCAAAGGACTCCAGAAGCCACGTCACTAAAGCAGAAGGCGAGAGGATGACAGGTGGGGCCAACCGGCCCTCTTGGCCACTTGTCAGCTTCCGCTTCGACGTCGGTTCCTCCACCGCCTCCTAGAATGCATCTACGCCGTTTATTCAAGTCGGTTTGATCCGAGGGCTCACATTGAACGCTCCGGCCTATATAATCAGCCCCTGCCCCCTCCAGAGCACGCTGTCATGAGTCAAGTTTAGACCAGAAATTAGGGTTTTCAGAGAGAAGAGAGTAGAGCTCTAATTCTTCAAGTTTCTAGTATAGGCTAGCTAGCAAGGTTCAAGAAGAGTGTGGGCTATTGCTCAGGATTCTGGATCTACCGTCTGTAGACTGGTATTGCCATTGTATCTCTAAATTTATGACTTTATGCTATTTCAATATTATGTTGCTATTTATTATGTTTCTACTTTGCTCTAGTTATATGCTTGATATAGTTATGATTGATGATGAATTTATGCATATGTTCGCAAAGCTCTTAGCTCAGTACTCGAGTGAGTTAAGTGGTCGACACTATATAAGCATGGTGCTTAGATATTGTTTGTCTGTGGATGCATTCCGCACTCTTGGTCATATGGTAGATCACGGATGTGACACTCCCATTGAGTCATTTGTAGTCCACTCCTCGTTTATAGAGCAAGTAGAACACAGTTGCGAAGGGAGACAAGCTCTGTTCGTGATCTTTCTTAGTAATGTTTCTTATACATAGATCCAAAAGTTAGTTATATAATAGATGAGAGTGTATATACTTGAGTGTACAAAAGACTTAGTAAATAAGGAATGATTACTATATTTTATGAGTCTATTTCTATCTTTGGAATACCATTATTACCTTACATTTATCATTTATTTATCCTTTGACTTATCCCTGGCATAGCATGAGAGTGATTTTATCATAAGTATATATATTTGTCAATATCTCTATACCAACATAACTCCATAGCTCCTCCCTGTGGATAAAATATAAATAACGATACCTGTTATATTTTTGGGTGAAATGCTACAATGGTACATTATTTGTGCGCTTGCGAATTACTTAGTATATATATAAATTTACAAGTGTTCTCAATAATTACCAATAACGTATTTCTGGCATCATACTAGGGATGACAACTTAGTAAAGAGTGATGCTAAGAAATGTCAACAATGGCCGAGGGAGCAGTCGGCACGCGTGGACGTTGCGGTGTCCATGCCGTCAGACGAAGCGGGCCATCGAGCAGAAGCATTGACAGGAAGCAGCGGAGTGGCGTGGAGCGGGAAAAGGAGCGGCGCGGGGTGACCATCGACGACGAAGCAGGCCACAGAGCTAGAGTAGCTGATGGAGCCAGAGCATGCGGGGTCACCGTGACATGCGGAGCAGAGCGGAGCATGTCTCTCGTCTTCTTCTCATTTCCTTATCTAACCGTCGCAACAGAAAGATAGACATGAATACGGTAATAAAAAACGAACGCATAGCATCGTTGCTAGAAGCAGGTCCACGAAGGGGCGTGTCCGGACGGACGACCTATGAGTAGCATTTCTGTTACCTCGTTTGCATTCGAGCGTTTTGCATTCGACACGGCATGCCTGGCCTGGTGAGCATCGTCGCCAGATGTTGAAAAGGACATTCGGACTTTTGGAGAACGCTGCAACTCACGAGGGAGTCCGCATGCGATTTTTTATGTTTGTAAAAAATAGATATTTGGTTACACTATCGTGCACAAAGTTATGAATTACGAAAATATAGACTGATTTTATGACTAAAGTTACTATTTAATTATACGATGTTTTAATTTTGCTATATCATTTTTTAGTTACTTTTGTATTATTAATTAATGTGACAAGGTCTCAGGCATTTATGCTTGTATTTGTATTTGTTTTTCCACAGAGAAAAGAGATGTGTGACATGACGCTAATCACCATCTCACGTACAGAACATGGAGTGTGTAGCCCTCCTCGCTTCAGTTCATAAACGAATATAACTATGAGAACTTGTGTACAATCAGTTTAACTTTAGTTAATTTTTATAATGAATAGTATTAACATTTATGTCTCAAACTAGATTTTAAAAAAATATTTTATCATTAATTTAATAATACTTATTTGTATCATAAATGCTAATATTTTTATATAACTTTTGTCAAACCTCAAAATGTTTGATTCTTCGAAAAGTGAGAATTACATCTTTTTCAGACAGAGAAAGCACACGTAAGGCCCTGTTTGACAGAGCTCCTGAGCTAATTCTCTGCTGAATTCAGCAGGAGCTCTGCCAAACCGTTTTTCAAATAGAAGTAATTCTCTATTGATTTTATGAAGTGATTTTCTGAAATGAACTAAAAGACTAAAAGCTAGAAAAGTAGCTTCTTCTGATTCTGTGAAGTGATTCTCCATCGTAATTTTGAGAGTTTATGCTAAAGAATCAAAGAGAATCACTTTCAGTCGTAGAATCAGCTTCCACAGAGAATTAGAATGAGACGAGCTCTATCGAAAAGTCTCTAAGAAATACGACAGTGGCAGAGCTCCCAGCAAAACATATAGGTTGACTTTTAACGAAAAAACTAGAGGCAGCCATTTTGCCTAATGTGAGTTACCGAGTCAACATATAATTAATAGGAAGTAATTTGCGTTTAAATCGTCAAATATACCATTCCTACTTCATTTCATTAGGATTAGCACATGATGAAGTTCACAAACCATAAGCAAGCAACAAAACTACAAAATGCGCAAAATGATCCTGAATCTTCGTCCTACCTGCAACTACAAAAGAGCCATGGGTGGCTAACGTTGTAGGATGGATTGGTTTGGAGATTTGAGGATCCAGAAGCACAACAGCCTGAGAGCTCAAAGCTGGCGATGCAAATCTGGACTCCATAGTGGCTAGACCTGTATGGTTCCCTTCTCAAAGGGCCTGTATCGCATCTGGCCAGCCAGGCCTTCTCCAGCCAGGCTATGGACATGCAACCTCTATTGTCTGGTTGCTCTGATTTACAGCACCAGGATAAATGGAGCAATTGTTTGGTTGCCCATATATGCGTCTGCATCACTGCTCTCTTGCTCGTATGAGCACGCAGCCCGCGCGAGCCAGGTTGCCTATAAACGGATTCCATATTCGTTCCCTGCGAGCCAGGCTGCGGGGGTGCGCCTGCACCTGGCCGGCCAAGCCCTGGGACAAGTTCAGGCAACCAAACGCAGGAAGACCGCGTCCCACAAGCTAGGCCAGGCTATATGTGGCCAACCAAACAGGCCACGAGCGAGTACCTAAGGTATATACTATTTTTGGTTATTCCCGCCGAAAAGGCAAGATCCAAGAGGCAATGATAGTATTTGCCACTGAGTCTCGTAAAAAGAGTCATTACGGGACTCATGCTGATCAATTTTTTTTTTAAGTTTGACTAGTTTATAGAAAATATAAGCAACGTTTATATCTCGAAATAAATTTATTATAAAAATATATTCAACGATTTATCTAATGATACTAATAATATAATAATAAATATTGTTATTTTAATATATATTTGGCTAAAGTTTAAAAGTGTTTAATTTCTCGGAAAGCGAGAATGATACATATGCAATGTCTAGCTAGCCTGCTACCTCTGTCAAAAAAAGAATACAATTTGAGGTGTATTTTTTTTTGTTAACGTACCGAAACCAAATATATGTTTATAGCATGAAATAAATATACTATAAAATATATCTCATAGCAAATTTAATGTACTTATTTGATATTTTAAATTTTGATGCTCTTTTATATATAGTTAGTTAAACTTATGATACTTTAACTTGGTATTGTGTTAGACTTATATTCTTTTCTGGACGGAATGCGTAGTTTTTAGTATGGAATGATCCTATGTCCGTGTCCAAAAGAGGGGATGAAATTATCCTTGTTTTGTGTTTCATAGAATGAACGAGGGCAGAGAGAGAAGTCATCAACGTTTGGGGTCCGTTAGACATTTGTCGAGTGGGACCCATATGGCATCCTGTTAGCAGCTTCTTCCTTCTACACAGCGCCCTTAGCCCATCAACCACTACCCTGACTCTAGCCGCATCGTGTGCCACTGCCCTGGTGTGGTCCGTCACCGCCCCTGGCCCCTAGCTACCAGATCCGTCACCTCCACAGCCACCCTCGCCGATCTCGGAACTACAGGATGCGCCATAGCCGCAACCACTCGCCTACCAAGTCCAAGCTCATAGCGGGGTTGAGCTCGCCTGCCTACCATGCTGGAGCGATCACACCCGTGAGGAAGGGGATGAAGGTATGGATAGAGAAAGAAACGACATGAGAGAGGACGAGCGGTGTGAGGCGTCCCTCTAATTTATGAGAGTGAGTTTATCCCCAAAATGATAGAATATTCTCTTCTATGGATCCTACATGCTTTCCTTAATTTACGTTGAAAATGTTAAGACATCGTGGCTTTTCTAAATATATTGTTTTTTATATATCTAAACATACTGTGTATCTAAATTCATAGCCAAAGCTAAGTATAAAAAAAAGTCAAAACATGTTATAATTTGGAATGCGGGAGTATTAGCTAGTCTTGTCCACCTGACATCTCATATTATTGTTTGTTTTTTTATGATTAATATAAAACTGTTTGTCCGTTCTACCCAGTCTAACAGATTATTAAAGGATTGCCACATAACCAACTTTGAGCTTGTATATATGCGCCTGTCATTCACATTTGAGGGCTCGAGGCGCATGCAGCAGGAGCACAACGCCACCGTGTAATCGCGGAGCGGATACATGTATTGCTAGACGCTAATCGCTAGAAGGCGCCGGTGGTGCAGTCCTCGAGCGCGCGCTTGATCTGCACCCGCTGCCGGCGCATGAGCCGCTCCGGGAACGCGACGTCGAACCGGATCCTGAGGCTGCCTCGGCGCCCGGGCTCGCGCGCGATGGGCATGCCCTCCATCGGCAGCACCAGCTCGTACCCGGGGCACACCACGGGCGCGTTCTCCTCGTCCTCGTCCTCGCCGCCGCCACCGCCGCCCACGTCGACGGCGAGCTCGCGGCCGTCGAGCGCGGCGAGGACGACGACCGTGCCGCCCAGCGCCTCGGCGAGCGTCACCCTGGCCTCGGCCAACAGGTCGTTGCCGTCGCGCCGGTACACGGGGTGGGGCTTCTCGTCGACCACGAAGACCAGGTCGGCGGGGAGCTGGTTCCACTGCTGGTTGCCCTTGCCGGCGAACGTGATCTTGGTGCCCTTCTTCCACCCGGGCTTCACCTCGATCGACAAAATCTCCGACTCCGTCTTCATCCTCCTGCGCCCAAAATGGAAATCAATTCATTTGTAGACACACACATTTATTTGCCTCCTAGCTGCTATTGACGTTACGCTACACATTTCGGTTCGGTTACCCGCTGGCATCGATGACGTTCCGGGAGATCTTCATCTTCTTGGTGCCGCCCATGTAGAGCTCTTCCAGGGTGCACGCCAGCCTGCTCTCCACGGGCGGCGGCGGCGGCGCCATGGTCGACGACGCGGCACCACCACCACCACCACCACCCTGGTCGCGCCGGTACGCCCTGCCGAACCCGCTGTCCCACTTCGGGGGCGGCGGGGGCTGCCTCCCGCCGCGCGCGCTGCCGCCGCCACCGCCGCCGGCCGTGTTGCAGTACGTGAACGGCGTGCTCCCGAAGAACTCGGCGAAGATGTCGTCGGAGCCGCCGCCGCCGCCGCCGGGCTGCGGCACCTCCCCCCGTAGGCCCTCCTCCCCGTACTGGTCATACACCGCCCTCTTGTCTGCGTCGCTGAGCACCTGAGATCATCCAATCCAGCCATGCATGTAAAAATAAACAAAATTACATGGCTGGATTATCCTTTGCTTCCGTTGCGTGCACGATTTATTTGAAGGGCGGCAGCGGCACGTACGTTGTACGCCTCGGTGATCTTCTTGAACCTGGCCTCGGCCTCTGCCTTGCCAGCGGGGTTCTTGTCGGGGTGCCACCGCATAGCCAGCCGCCGGTAGGCCCTCCGGAGGTCGTCATCGGTGGCGCTCCGGTCGACGTTGAGGATCTCATAGTAATCCCTTGTTGATCCCATCGTCGTCGGCCCTCCACCGGCGATGCAGATGCATGACAAGAATCAAAGACCCTAATCCCAGACGGTGAACCGAGGAGAACCAAATTCAAGCCGCCACAGCGATTGATCACCAGAGGAAATAGGAGATGAAGGAGACCAACGCCAACGTCAGGGCTCGCCAGAGGAAGAGGAGGCTCCTCAGCTTGAAAGTGCAGAACATCAGATCGATGGATCGAGTTGAAGGGGGTCGATCGATGCAAGAGGGATGGAACAACGTCGTGCTTGCAATTCTTCCCTCCTAGGCTGTAAAAAAGGATGCCAGATTGAGAAGAGACGTTTCTACTACGTTCCTATCTACCCTGTTTTCCTTTTACCTGCTCTACTCTTTGTTTGGCAATGCACGAGGAGGAAGAGGAACGGTAAAGAATAGTACTAGAGGAGAACACGTTCAAATATGTGCACGTTTTCCTTAACTTCTGGCGTTACTAAAGCAATACAGAAATTATTCTGAAATGAAAACCGGATTTCTAACCGTCAGCCAACTAAAACTTGTGATCTTATTAATTGAAGTTTTAGGGATCAGGATGTTCTTGCAGGTGAATTGAAGAACACGGGTAAGAACACGATAGATGCAATCTGAAAATATTGTTGATGTATGATTAAGCTCATAAATTGGGGTTCCACAAACCGATATGACAAAATTGTTCAATGACAGATTAGTCTAAGCAAAACTCAAACCATAACTTGAGTGATGGATACTAGATATAGTCTAAGGGGCAACCAAGGACGTCTGGTTGTTAGAGAAAATTAAGTAGTAAGCCATAGGATCTCTAATCTGGTTAACGTGAACACAAAATGTCTAAGGTGGATTGATGACTAACCATAATCTCCATGGTAGTCCACCATCGATAGAGGTTGTCGAGCGAACCGTGTAGTCACCATCCTCCTCTCTGGATGCCGGGACATTGATGAGGAAGACGGTGAAGAAGACGTCGATGTCCTTCAAGATGTCGGCTGATGTCCTCTCTGGACACCGGGACCTCGATGAGGAAGGCGGTGAAGAAGACACCGATGTCTCCTAGATGTTGGCCGATGTCCTCTATGGAAGCAGGGACGACGACGTGTCACTTCAGTGCTGGCGGTGACCTTCTGGTCACTTCATCGCACTTAGTAATCGGGTCTTATGAGAGGATGGGTATTAGCTAAAACCCTCGAAACATACCGCTCTAATAGGCGCCCTAGTAGGCGCTATGTGGCGAGGGGCCACAACCTGTGGTCATTTGGGTGCCCCCGATCAACATGTATGGGAGAAAAGTTTCCCATTAACCGTCCCCCTTACTAACTCGGCGATGTGTGACGAGGGGCCACAACCTACGGTTTGGGTGCCCCTGATCAGCACACATGGGAGAAAAGTTCCCCCTTGAATGTCCCCATTACTGACCCGGCCTAGGCGCGGTTAGGGCGTTGGCCCATACCTGTCCATGGGAGTGAGATCACTTTTCCAACACTGATGACCACCTTCCTAAGGGACTCCAACACGATACACCCTGACAGATTCGATGATTCTCGTTGACTCTAAAGAAATTTTGACAACAACTACATGCACCACAGAATAAACATGGTCTCCCTCACGCATTCATACCACTGCAACGAAATAGTTAACACTCAGATTTTGTTGGTCATACCAAACCATTTCAAATATATAAGCAGCATTAGCATGCTGCTGAATCAGTCCATCACGCATACAAATTATCAAGTCTTTTACAGCTCACACACACAGCACGCCATGAGGGTCATGCTGTGACTACGGTACAGACCCACCAAAGGCTAATGACACCCTCTTATTTCAAGCATACACACAAAATAAACAGACAATACCAAGCAAACAAGTGGTGTTTCACGCACACAAACTGATCTATAACTCTTATAAAGCTAAACCCCACTAGATGATTTATCTCTTCATGCAAGGTGTCCACATCATTTCCCACTAAATAACTCCACTAGATGTTATATCTCTTCACGCAAGATGTCCACATCATTCCCCACTAAGTCCATGTCATCCCTTATTAATTAAAAAAAAAGTCCATGTCATCTCTATCATGTGCAACTTGTAATCTTTAAGTTAAACCCCACTGGATGATTTCTCTCTTCATGCAAGGTGTCCACATCATTCTCCACTAAATAATTCCACTAGATGTTATATCTCTTCGTGCAAGATGTCCACATTATTCCCCACTAAGTCCATGTCATCTGTTATTAATTCAAAAAAAAATATCCACGTCATCTCTATCATGTGCAACCTTTAATCTTTAATCTATTAACATACGCTCTTTGTTTCCTCACTTATTCCTCTATAATGTAATCAAATATTCTATTGCTTTTTCTTCTATTAGCTTACCAAAAATATTTTACAAATATGATACAATAAAATAACATGTATGTCAAATTCATATATATAAACAATATACAAAATACCATAAAGTAATGTTGTGTATATAACAGATTCATTTTTAAGCAATCCTGTGGCAACGCGGTGGGTATGCTGCTAGTTTAATAGCAAGCACACCCAATGCAACTCGGTGGATGCAATGAAACCAGCGTCAAACACCTATTTATTATGGAGAAAACAAATAGAAGACCATGTAAAGGAATCTGTAGAAGAGTAGAATAGGGACAACAGTTGTTGTATTGCAGCACTGAAGGCTTATATACATGTTACAATGGTGTGCACAAGGAGTGCACGGGAGCAGGCCGTGGGCGACGTCGTGGTCACCGCGCCAAGCCTATAACTAGCTCTACCAAAACTGTATACATCTCAACCCCCCCGCAGTCTGTGGGGCGCTACGTCGCCAGCAGGGCAACACACAGGCTGGAGTGGAAAGTTTGGAATGTTGGAGTCGGCAGTCCCTTCGTCATCATGTCGGCGTATTGCTCACCGGTTGCAACATGAAGAACACACAGATCACCCACTTGAACGCGTTCGCGAACGAAGTGGATGTCCAACTCGATGTGCTTGGTGCGCTTGTGGTGGACGGGATTCGCAGACATGTAGACGGCTGAAACGTTGTCGCAGTAGGTGACCGTAGCCTTGGTGATGCCGCACTGGAGTTCACCGAGAAGTTGACGGAGCCAGATGCACTCCGTGGTGGCATTCGCGACAGCCTGGTACTCGGCCTCCGCGCTCGAGCGCGAGACCATTGGCTGGCGCTTCGATGACCACGATACCAGCGCATCATCGAGGAACACACAGAAGCCTGACGTCGATCGCCTGGTGTCTGGGCAGCCCGCCCAATCTGCGTCCGAGTACGCTGTAATGGAGAGATCCGATGAGGTGCGTAGCCACAGTCCCAGCTCGCTCGTGCCACGGACATAGCGAAGGATCCGTTTGAGCAACGCCAAGTGTGGACCGCGTGGATCGTGCATATGAAGACAGGATTGTTGCATGGCGAAAGCAAGGTCTGGGCGCGTGACAGTGAGATATTGTAGTGCCCCAGCCAAACTTTGGTAGTGCTTGGTGTCGTCGATGGCAGGAGCGTTGGCAGAGAGCTTGCCTTTGAGGTCGATCGGAGTGGCAGCCGACTTGCAGTTCATCATACCGGCGCGCTCGAGGATGTCTTCGGCGTACCGTTGCTGGGACAAGAAGAAGCCATCGGCGGTGCGCTTAATGTCCATGCCGAGGAAGAAGCGCAGCTCGCCGAGGTCCTTGACCGCGAACTCTGCTTGCGGATGCTTGACGAGCTGGTGTAGGAGGGCTGGGCACGAGCCAGTCAACACAATGTCATCGACATACAGAAGGAGATAGGCGATGTCATTCCCGCGTCGTAGAACGAACAGCGAAGAATCAGACCGGGTCGGCTTGAACCCAATGCAAACGACATACTCGGCGAACTGAGTGAATCAGGCCCGAGGAGCTTGCCGAAGGCCGTAGAGAGATTTATCGAGGAGACAAATGGTGTTTTAACGTTCAGCATCAACAAAGCTGACAGGTTGCCGACACAAGACATGTTCCTGAAGATGGCCGTGAAGAAAGGCATTGGACACGTCGAGCTGGCGCGTCTGCCACTTGCGGGAGGTGGCTATGGCGAGCACAGTGTGGATCGTCGTGGGCTTGACGACCGGCGTAAAGGTTTCACCGAAGTTGATGCCCGCGTGATGTGTAAACCCGCTGTCACACCCGATTTTAAGGATAAAATAGGATAAATAATCTTATGTGCGCCCAGAGATCAGTCACATATATAAGCCGACAAATTATAAATAGTATTGTCACAAGTGTTTATTACATCACGAATAATAAGACATAGTCTTCACATAAACGTAGCAGAAGTATGAAGAAAGTCTCTCGCGGAAGCTCCATATCACAGGGACGTCAACTGGTTGACAAAAAGTCTAGTAATCCTCAAGAAAGTCGTTATTACCATAGCCATCTGTTACTTATCCGAGATTTTTATCCAAATAATGAAAATAAACAAGCGTAAGTACTTGTCGCACTCAACAAGTGTAACATGGGGCTCAAAAGGCTTGACACAGGTTTAACAGCATTCAACTTTTATTTGTCACAATTTTAGCATAAGAGTATTAATAAGTTGTTTCAATCCTAAAGTAAAACACATGATCAATGTAAACAAGAATAATGAATAGCATAAAAGGATAATTCTTAGTGATCATCTATTCCATAAGGATCCAAGGCCGCTCGTGACCGTGAGCACGGCTGATATACCAGTTTTACACTCTGCAGAGGTTGTACACTTTCATTATGAGTCGTGATTCCCAAATGCCCGTGTTAATTACTCCCAAAACAGCCAAAGGGCCTCTAGTCCAACTGGTTAGAGCGTCTCAGCGGCACTCCTCAGATCCTGGGTTTGACTCTTCGTGGGAGCGAATTTCAGGCTGGGGTTAAAAAATCTCCTTGTCTGTCCCACACCAAAGCACAGGTCTAAGGATCGGCCCGTTCTCACATGGGGACGGTGCCGCTGTGTAAGGGTGGGGCAGGGGTTCGGGGGTTTTCTAGGCTTACGTGAGAA